TGTGTATATATATATATATATATATATATATATATATATATATATATATATATATATATATATATATAGTCAGCAAGTTGTCAGATCGCAAAAGCAGTTTCCAACAGAAAAAGAAGAAGAAAAAACATGAAATCATTTTTTATCTTCTTCCTTACAACCCTCTCTGTCCAGGACCTCTTGCGTACAAGACTGCCTACGTGGATGTGGGTTGAGCGGCGGTTGGCCCCACCCCCGTGGGTCATATCGACCTAGTTGTAGTCGGCGAAAGGTCAAAGAGGCAAAGAAAAGAGGCGTTGAACAGCCAAATACAACAAAACAGGAGGCAACAAGCAACAACATAAAAAACGGATCCTAGATGGCAAGTCTCACATGCAAGCACCGCCCCTTCTTCACAGGCCAAACGACGGGATAAGACCACCCAGGACAAAAATCTTCTCTGCAAACAAAACTATATACAGTACATGGCCTTATTCGTCATCAAGACGTGGGTATTCCCATTCCTAAGGCATTGATGCTCTCGTAGGCCAAACAACATTAAAAAAAAAAAAAAAACGGATGACTGGTCCCAATTGAAAGCACCGTTGCGCTCGCCAAAGTAGACCGAACAACGGGACAAAACCAACGAGGATGCACATGAGGGTGCCAAAAAACAAACATAATAACAAAAATGAACCCTAAGTGTTACACTCCATACCCACTAACCTCTGCGTTCACACGGAGAGAGAGAGAGAGAGAGAGAGAGAGAGAGAGAGAGAGAGAGAGAGGGAAAAAAAGCCACGATTGTCGGAGTACACGGTAGACAAAACCCCATTTCAAAAGAGAGATTAAGAACTACTGCGAAGCACACATGTTATCGATCTACGACACAACGTTAGTGCTGCATCCAACCCTCCTCATGACAAAAAACAGACCACACTTGATGGCGGGCCAACCCCCAACCCAACCTAGCAATTCCCGAACCAGCCACCAACGCACCGATACTCTGCCTGCCGAATCGGCGGAAGAAACAAAAATTGGCCATCATCGCGAAGCTCTGCACGTCCTCCACATTGTACGTCCCTTCATAGTGCACGTCACCATATCTCGAAGGCGGTCTACCACCTGTTACGCGCATCCCTGAGGTCATCCTCCGGGCACCACATCTGGACCGCCCCATGCAGGCAGCCTCTCTCCCAAAGTGGAGGCTCCATGTGCGCTACATAGCACGCATTGCTGCTATTGGTCCCCACGTGCTCTTCGGCGATGGCGGAGACAAGGTACCGGACGACGTCCCCAACGACATCGGGGCTCGGGCCCAGCCACGTGTCCGGGATAATATTGGACACCTTCTTCATGAACAGGACGACCTCCGCAAGGCTGCCATCCTGGTTGTACCCCAGCCCAGCCACCATCCTCATCGTGAGGAGGCCATTGACAAGCGCGTAGTAGTAAACGAGCGTGTGGTCGTTGATAACAGTGGGGCCCCAATCCATGTTCCGTGGCATTTGTTACCCGTTCCAACCGTGTCTCCTGCACGACAACCTCTTTCCCGTCAACCCGCTCTCTCACCACCGCGGATACGTCCGACATCTCTCTCTCTCTCTCTCTCTCTCTCTCTCTCTCTCTCTCTCTCTCTCTCTC